ATTTAAATTATTAACCAACCCACTTGTCGACTTCAGTCAAGTTCAAATTCAGTCGAGTTCAGTAGTCACTGTAGCTTTGACAAGGGTATTCAGTGTTCTCCCCAGGAAAATAATGTAAGTTTAAGGACCAATTTACTTAGTAAAAAATATGTCAATTTATATATATATATTGTATCTATTGTTAGGCTAAAAAGGATATATTGTTTTTTCAGAAATAAATATTTAGAGATTCCTACTCTATAATACCCTGGTATTGACCTCATGGTGTAGAATAATACTTATAACATTGTACTCTTTATTTGCAGGCAGAAGGAAAATCCACTATCTATTCAAAGATGGGAAAGAAATGGCAGAAGAGTATGATCTAAGGAGCAATGACCTTTTAGGTAAATATCTGATAATTCATTATTATACCAAAAATATCAAACATTGTTAACTGACCATGCTCAAATTTGTAAGATGTTATTCAACACCAAACCAAAAATATCATGTTATATCTTGAGTTTTTATTTATTATACATGCAACAACTTGTATGAAGCGATAAATCTAAAATAAGGCTGAATTCAAATGGCCGACCCTAAATGGCTGTCGACATGAAAGTCTTGATGCACGAATTGATATATAGCACACTTGTGACATGGTCATTGTTGCATTGTATTTAAAACATGTCTTGGAATTTCGTAACTAGCATTTCAAATTTATATGTGGCAGTCAGATATTTTCAAAACAGACACATTCAAAATATTAAATGTTGTTCATGCAATGAGCAGTAAAATAATATTCATTATTGCAGCACTATTGTGTCTAAGGCCACAGGAGACATGATCTAAAGTCAGTGATATGTTTTTAAGTCACATTTCAAAACTTAGTTGGCCATCATCTGTTGCTACTGTTTTGTTTTCTAGTGTACCGTAAAATCTGCATTAGAAGCTGAATCACAATTGAGAACCAAAAATTCACCGTTTCTTATATGTGTAGGCCTCTAATACAGATTTTACAGTAATCAAAACAGAGTCTTTCCTCGCCCTCCATTGCTATCATCTGAGAGAGCTACAATGAATAGCTTTCGAAGAGCAAGTCGATATCGACACACTCACATAAGTTACAAAGAGGTTCATAGTTTTTATGGAAAAACATCTTGCACATAATTGGGGAACAATATTTTAATATGTTTCATTCTGAATGAATTACATTTATTTACATTACTCAGTGTCGCATACGACTTATTTACCACTTCTGTGTCACTGAGAATGTTCTAGAACTGTACTGTGTCTGGGTGGAATATTCTAGATTTTTTTTAGAAACTGGTTGAATAGGTAATAGAACACTGTAGGAGGCAATAGAAGGTAATGGAACATTCTAGAAACATTACAGAGTATAATAATACCAGTACCAGTTGAAACCTCATCTGTTGGCTCCGTGTTCGTATTTTATCATCGCTGCCAGGGAAGTCTTTCTGTTACTGTTGCCATTTTGGTATTTGAACCATCACACCTGTACTATACCAATTACGGTAATATTATGTTGCATGTGACACTCAGCTGTAGTAAAAGTAGTGTCGTGGCGTCCACAGAGTGAAAATATAAAATAACACCAATCAGGTGACTGGAATTTTGATTTCAAACACCACAGTAATGCATATTTTCATTCCTACTGTGATAAAAGTATGTATAATAATCATTGTTATCCTTATTGCCTTTTTAAACCATTGTTATCAGGCAATTTTCAGTTAATATTTTCTGCACAATATATGAATCATTTCTTGTGAAATACCAGCAGTTATGCACGGCCATGTTTACATGTCACTTCATGCTGACAAATTGCACTCTGACTCTCTGTAATAACAAAGTTATAGTGTGGTAAAAATCTACAAATTACATGTACCATAAAAATTGAGGTCGCACCCCTAACTTGAAACATTATTTCTTGTTGAAATTGACAAGTTTTGATCCCAGGGAAAGTCTGGAATATAAGCCGCACACCAAACTTTCACATACTCGTCTGCCACACAAACCAAAAAGCCCTTTTCAGGGTCACCACATATTTCCGAAAGAGATCACAGCCTCAATTTTACGGTACATCTTATCTATTTTTTTTCTGTTTACTTAAAAGTCAGAAAATGGAGGAACAAGAGCACACTTGGAGGTGATGGTAAATGGGAATTTGAAGTTGGGGAAATATTTCGTCCTGTGAATTTAGATGTAGATTTGTTTCGAGAGAATAACAGTAATGTAAGTGTTGCATGACTCTGTTCTTCGCAAATGCTACATATGCACTTAATTACTTCCATTTGCATAGCGTATGATTTGTTTTGTTATTTCCACATAATGTGCTGCATAGTGCTGCTCTGAAAGGCCACCACTAAATCATTTAAAAAATAAAACTCTTGTTGAAAGAACCAATCATCAAAACTTTGGTGATATCAAATACTTGCAGGCTCTATGTAAGACCAAGAAGACTCCATATCAAAAAATTCAACTTTCTTTCCATCATGGCTATTTACCTTTTGTCCTACATTATTCACATCTATCCATCTACCTCTAATCATAATGCTATCTTGTGACAACTGAAATACTGCATTCTGGGTGACAATTTACAATCGTCCCAACGTTCAGTTTCAACTACGGCCAGGGATATTTCATACAGTTCAGTTGTTACTGTTTTTAATTAACCAAGAATCTTCCGTTATATATTTTGCCACTATTTTTGCACAACAAACGACTGATATAGTAGTTTAGCTCTCAAAGGCAGGGTAAAAAAATGAATATGTATAATTATTGTTATTTTCATACCGTAGTCCCTCCTTACTATAAACAAATAATTATTTAATTGAAATAATATACTTTGAATGGTTGAATTAATAGAGTGGTTATTGTTCAGTATTTATAGAATAAGTAATTTTCTGTTTATTGTGAGAAATGTGTGAAACAACGTCTGTCACAAAATCAAGTGATTTGATTTTGAACTTGAATTTTTTTTAGACCGGTATAGAGAGAAATATGGGAAAGAAGTCTTTACTTCATCCAAATTGACCATCATCAAATATGTATAGCACAAAATACTTTGTCTTTGTCAAATCCCACACAATGACATCACTATGATGTCAATGACCTTTATTTGGCCTGTTTCTACATTCAATTTCATAAGATCTAACAGTAAACAGAAAAACGTCTATTGAAGATTTCAATATTTGTTCATGTAATTTCAACCAGAAAAAAAGTATAGAACATGGAAACAAAACACATCAAACTCTAATACTAAAAATCAAGGTGGATTTATAAAATATCAAAATGTGATCATTTTCCATCATGTTGTTGAAATAAAAATAATTTTTTTTCACAATAAGTGCAACTAACGATACCAAACAATTTATGTTTCTCTGTGAGAAAAGCATGTGTGTATATAGGACAGAAGAATTGTTCATTTCTATCCATGCTTGCTATCAAAACCTCTTATTTTAAGGACATGGAAATAATTTATGACAATGTTTTTGTTTTCATGTTCCTCACAATTCTGATACATGGATATTTTGTTAGCAAGCCCAGGCCTTTATGTGATGTGATGTGAGTTGTACACCATATATGTCTATTTGCAATTATTACTAGACTGCTCAAGTATTCTAGTGCAAATACCTGTAAATGTGCATCACATGGTTTATGTTAGCTATGTGCCACTATACAATAACTTGTGGTAGTTTGTTCAATTTCTCATTCCTGTCATTAAAGCATTTTTTTTATTGTCATAATGAATGTCAGCATTTCATTTCAGCCAGCGTTTTCCAGGAATGAATACAAAGCTGTCATTTCAATGGCGTGTTCGTAATCTACCTTACCCTATTGATACTTACAATGTTACCGTGGATACCGATAGCGGATGTATCATCATCAGGACAACAAACAAAAAGTATGTGTTTATTTTTCATATTTGCAAAGATCTTGCTTAGTTTCCACATAGCAAGGGAATCTCTTGGTTTTGCTCACGACCATGCCCCAGGTTTTTGTCTCTGCAGCTTTCTTTCCCACTTGTCAAGAGAAAACCCATGAGGTTCCATTGGATGGAGACTTGTATGTGGTAGCATGATTAACAGCATTATTTTTCCCATAATGCACTTGTCTTTTCTGGAAGTTCAACATTACAACAAAACATGGACTATCTGACCCTTTGTTTTCACATAACATTGTGTGTGATAGCTTAACCTTGCAATTGTGTATAAAACAATACTTAAAAAATTGGTCCATTTTATGTTCAAAATCACACAGTTATTGCTGCTTTAACAATCAAATAAATTCATTGTAAATCATGAAAAAAATATCAACAACTGTGGGATGTGTCACCAGCATGTCATTCACTGTGAGAATTATAATTATCTCTTTGAGAGATCAAGCCCATTGTATTTAATAAATGTCCCTCTACGAGATGATTTCACTATGAAACAAGTGTGGATGAAATACTGTATTGCCTGAAATAGTGCATACTTTGCGTAATTCTCGAAATAACTTTATTATTTTACATATCTTTCTGCATGTAGCAATAATTTAGTGAGGTAGGACAATCAAAAATGGCAGTCAAAAGCATTTTATATATAGCAGCATGATCATTTGCATATAGTGACATGATTATGCGTTATATTCAGAGTAAGAATTGAAAACAATTGGATACCTGTGAAAGATTTTTCAAATTTCACATTTATTTTTAAATGTCGTGTTCTTCGGATCATAAGTTTTTTCATCTGCCATCAATGGGAGAACTTCATTCAACCTTATTTAGTTACCGTAAAATTGCATGAAAAAAATGTTATCAGTTTATTCCAGCTTGTCACGTCTTTGGCACATACATGTACGCGTTGGCAGTGTACACCGCCCTCCAATGTGTTGCTACATTCAATGTTAACAAACATTTTTTACATGAGACATAAATATGATGTGCATTTTCCAAATAAGGAAAGTGTCTGTTATGCCAATGATCACGTCCTTTTGTGGATGACTAAATGCTATTGTTTTTGATGTCCAATGTATTATAATGTATATATGCTAATATATTAACTTTTTCACCACCAGACTTTCTCGCCCAAATTTTTCCTATATTTTTTAATATTTTTGGAAATGAACCTTAATTTTGGAGCCAACAGACAAAATTTTAGTCAATTTTCAGTTTTTACTCAAAAAATTTGACTATTTTTGCCCTAATCTTCTGAAGGAAAGTGCAGACTATAAACGGCACTGAATTTAATTTTCTATATTCTGTGTGATTGTTTTCATTAGATATTACAAGAAATTCAACATTCCAGATTTGCAGCGATTGGGATTACCCTTGGAGCAGTCAGCGTTGAGCATAGCACATGCAAACAACACTCTAATTGTTACTGTAAGTAAAAACTACCCTACAATGGAAGATTTGAAAAAGAAAAAGTGTTCAAACTAATATTCCTGAAAATGAAATGGATCTACGGTTAACTAGCTTTTACATATTACGTATTTTACCAACTTCCTGGGTTAGTTGGATTTAGCATGTACTCAAAGTAGCATTTGAACAGCAATGCATTGTGGGATTTGTTGTAGGGAAGACAATAACTTGGCTTATAAATGGCGCATTACGTCTGGTTTCAATAAGTATAACTCCTGAA